GATACTCTACATTTACCATTTGTTATGTGTTGCAATAGCAAATCACCATTTCTAATTACCCTTTGCCAAATGGAAAGAGTTTTTTATTCTAATTAATCCTTTTTTTTTTTCATTTTAATAAACTTTAAAGCTTTTTTTTCATTTTAATAAACTTTAAAGCTATGTTTGGTTAGATATAATGTAATGAAATCAAATATGTAATGCAATGAAAAAAATATATTGTAATGAAATGTAATTAACATTTTATTTTTATGTTTATTTGTAACTATATAATGTAATTAGCACAATATCACCATCAAAACCACCACTCTATTACCATTACCACCACCACCACTTCACTGCCACCATCCCCGCCACCGCCACCACCTCAACCACCGCTCCACCACCACCATATGATTGTTGATACAAAAAAAATATTTAAACCAAAAGCTATTAATTTTTATGTTGGATATGAGTGTTTCTAATGGTATAAAACTATATTTGGTAGGTGAAATAGAATAAAATAAGAATGAAACAAATAATAGAATGAAAATAGGAATGTGGATTCTTATTTCTATATTTAATATGCAACACGCAATAAAATTTTCAATTTATTTTTTTATTTTGCTGTATGAATGAGAAAAATGAAACGGAAAACCACTAAAAAGATCGAAATACCTATAATTTTATAATAGAAGTTATTTGTTTTTCCCATTAAAAATACTGGTTATAATGGAAATTGCCATTTGTTTAGTGAACCTCTTTTTCTTTTCCCCTGAAAGGGTTTAATGAGATTTCTTTTAATTAACATCATAAGCAGTCTCAGACTAGTTATTATAATAAGGTATAAAAGTATTAGAATATCTCAAATTGATGAAGAGTTAAAAATATAAAAGGCATATAAATATTGGAACCAACTATTCAAGTGGTGATTTTTAGTCATTAGTTTTTTCGTATGTTTTTTTTTTTAAGAGAAAATTACCACTATTTTATTAAATGTAATGGGAAAGGAGAACATTAGGGACACTCTCCCAAATACAAAGTGGTGAAAAGCGAATGGATGCCCTAGCAAGAGAATGAGCAACATCATTCATAGTACACCGAATCCATCGAAGCTAAATATCCGGTCTATCAACTAAGAGTTACTTACAATCTTCCACAAGTTTTTTCGTCTGTTTGATTATAAGATAATTTAATTAATTAATCATTAATTGCAATAAAAATCACAAAGAAATTAATGTTCAAAACTTGTTACAAAGACCTAATTTCTTCACAAATTAATCCTGTAAAGAGAGCTGATTTGACCACGGTAATAAATAAGCTATTATAAAAAACGAAAAATGAAGATAAAAAAATGGGAACACTTTATTGCAAACCTTTTTCACTGCACTATTTGACCATTACACATATTTATTAAGTTATCACTATAGGATAATGCAAACATGTCTCCCTTTCTCTGAAGCACATGAACAAATACATCTCCATGAACGTTATTATATAAACTCCATCTTCTCCCGCTCATTCAATATTATTCTAACTTTTGTTAATTAATAATACCTCCCCTTATCCCAACCATGCACAAAATCATCAGTGTTTGACTTAGAATTCCTTAAATAAACCCCATCGTCTTTGGCAATCCAAAAACAATCGGAACGAAAATACCATCGACTATGTTCACACCTATCTTTAATAAAATCTTTATTGGCAAATACTTCGAGACTAGCATGAGAGAAATTGTCTGGGGCCAAATAACACCAAAAAAGTGTGCTCCAAGTGAGGTTTGGATGAAACTGCCAAGTAATTTCAGACCCTCCGGTAATATTATGGACGCCAATATCATCATCTTTAGACTTGCAGTGTGCTAGTAATATCTTGTTATTACCCAAATTGTTGACGACATGTATATGATATTCTGGTATGGCAGATAACTGTCTGGGTGCATTTTGAGCGGTGAAAGAGGGAATTGTTGCAAAAGCCAAAATGAGTAAGAATAATCCCATGTTTATTTTCAGAAAATTCATTATGTATAGGTGATATGATGGCAGATAACTGTCTGGGTGCATTTTGAGCGGTGAAAGAGGGAATTGTTGCAAAAGCCAAAATGAGTAAGAATAATCCCATGTTTATTTTCAGAAAATTCATTATGTATAGGTGATATGATGAATGGTTTTTCTTTTTTTCTCCTCCTCTTTCTCCTGTTAAATAAAATTTGCATGTGTTTTGCTTATATTTATAGTCAAAGAATTGCTTAGCTAGCAAGCTTCATTTATGGAAAGTGTTTGCCTAGACAGGGTCAGAAAAGAAAAATATAAATTTTTTAAATTTATTCTACTTTATCCTTTTTTTTTTTTTAGTATATTGTCAAAAATATCTCATTTTAAAAAATTTTATTTTTTAAAAATTCTATTCTATTTTAAAATAAATAATAAAATGAGAATAGAAACATGAATTATCATTTTTATATTTAATATGCAAGATGGTATAGTTCAGATGTATTCTTTTATTTTGTTATAGGAATGTGAAGAATGGAATGAAAAATCCCAAAATGTTTTATTGAAATATTATAAAAAGAAATTAATTTTTAATGACTTTGACTTTTATTGTGTTACATTACATTTTTTTTTTCTTGCTTATTTTCTTTTAATTTTTTTAGTCCAATAAATTTATAAATTTTAAATTTTAAATGGTGTTTAATAGCTTAATATAATAATAGCTCTTGGTTCAAATATATCTTTTGTATTAATAATAATGCGGCGGTGGTGATGGTCGTGTGGTGGTTGACGTAGTGATTATGGTGTCGAAGTGGTGGTTATAGTTGTGGTGATGGTGGTGAAGTTTAAGGTTGAGTTTGATTAGGGTTAAACTTTTAAGAGATTGTAATGGAATAAAAATTGCATGGACTTTTTTTAGAATAACTATTGCATTATTTTAAATAATGGTAATACAATTGTAACATTCATTACATTACGCGGTAAGAACAAAGTTCATCAAGCATCGCAATCAATTGTGTAATATAATATGTAGTCCTCTGTCCATTACAGGGTAGGTGATAAAATTCCATCATAGTGGTCCTCTGTCCAAATTATGATCCAAAAAATCCAAAATTTTATCATTGAAACTATCTTTTACATAGATGCAACTTGTTTATTAATATACATAATGGAAATTCAGTGAGTAGTTTCAGGTCTGTCTTCTTGACACCTCCATATAGAAATGGTGATTCCTAGCCTCAAAATCAGTAAGTCCAGGGAATTCACATACACTGCATTGGCTGCAAAATTTGTATAATATTACATCATAATTTTGGTGACTGAAAATGGCATGACATCCACCGTAGAAAATGGACTCACAAATGGTGTTGACAAAATCTAGAGATACCCTTTTTTTTATGTGATTAATGTTTATTAATGACCATGTATTGGAAAAAAAAACATGGACTTACCATTTCCTTGAGCCAAAAAATAAAAGAAGCCTAGCAAATGGAAATAAAAATTAAAGATATGACAGTAATTGCGTTTAAATCTGAAGTATTTGATAGGTTTTTTTTACCTTTTTTTTTTTTTTTTAATTTTAATTTTGTCTTCGTATTGACATTTAGCTTCAAATGGAATAAGAGACCTTGTATTATACATATATATTGTAAGAGATGAAATTATTTCTAGAAATAGGCTAAATCAGAAACAAAAAGAATACACCAAAAGAACTAAACATTAAACAATTTCCTATATATGTTCTCTTAATTCACATTATCAAAAGGAAAAACCGATTTAGTAAGAGGCAAAACAATCTACAACTTTGAGTTTCTTTTCATTTTGTCAACAACCTACATGCTTACTAGTGTCCGTTTGGTTTCAAGCAACTGATAAGAGTTGCGGATAGCTGAATGACTATTCTGAATAGCTAATAAGAGATGAATAGTGAGTATTTGATAAATTATATATAAAATGAAAATAGGTGGAGAACATTGGTACTGTCAAAAATGTTTTTTCTAAGTTTATAGATCGATAAAAATATCATTACGGATTTTAATTTGATTGGTCGAGAAAATAATGGTAATTTAATTTTGATTTGTCATATTAAATTTTTATTTAAATCTAAATTTTATTTATTAAAATAAGAAAATATACTATATATTATATAAGGTACATATAAAATATAATAATATTATTTGGTTCCACCTTTCTTATATATAATATATTATTTGTTCCACCTTTCTTATAAATGGAAGTTACATTTTTAAAATCAAAACTATATAATATTAAATAACAGTGGAATTGTTGCAAAAGCCAAAATGAGTAAGAATAATCCCATGTTTATTTTCAGAAAATTCATTATGTATAGGTGATATGATGAATGGTTTTTCTTTTTTTCTCCTCCTCTTTCTCCTGATAACTAAAATTTGTATGTGTTTTGCTTATATTTATAGTCAAAGAATTGCTTAGCTAGCAAGCTTCATTTATGGAAAGTGTTTGATGGATATGGTAATATATATTATATGGTAACATAATATAATATAGCAATACTATATATTATATGGATATATACATATTATATAGTAATATACTATAATATAGTAATATACTATAATATGGTAATAATATTTTATGGATATTAAATAAAGTATATATTAAATATGGTAAGAATATAATACATTTAAGGATTTTAATTTTGTTGATTGAAAAAATAAAAATGGTGTAATTTTAATTGGTTATATTATCTAATGTAACTTGCAAAATTTTTTTTTTTTCTTACTTGTTTAAAATAGAATTTTTTTTTTTTTTTGAAAAGTGTTTAAAATAGAATAATTGACTAGTAATTTTGAGGATTAATAACTTAATAATGGGAAAACTTTATTGCAAAAATTTAATTTGACCATTACACATATTTTACAACAATCAAAAGCATCATTAATTTATTACTACAGTACAATGCAACTATGACTCTAAACTTTTCTTAATTTAACATTCCTTTCTCCCAACCACGAATAAACACATCTCCATGAACGTCCCTTATATAAACTCCATTATCTTTAGCAAACCAAGCACAATCAAAAGTTCTTGTCAAAGGACCACCTTTCTCAGAACATCTATCTACAATATAATTTTTATTAGCAAATACAGTGAGACTAGCATGAGAGTTACCACTCTCAGGGGCCAAATAGCACGAATAAAGAGTTGTCCAGAAGAAATTTACATGAAACGTCCAAGAAAATTCAGAACCTGCAGAGATGATTTGGATGCCAAGATCATCGTCTTTAGACTTGCAATGTGAGAGTAAGATATTGTTGTTGCTTAACTTGTTTACAATATGTATCTGAAATTTTGCTGTTGGTTTAACTTTTCTGATGAGGGTTGAGAGGCTGATTTTCTGATGAGGGTTGAGAGGCTGAAAGGGGAAGAGCTAATAGGGAAGCCAATATAGTGATCAGAAAGAAAGTAGTCATGGTGATTTTGGGGAAGAAAGTATTTTATATATTATTTATTATTATTATTATTATTATATTAAGATTTGAGATGAGTCTATTATCAAATGACATTCAAGTTTCAAAGTCTATTCTGCTTTTAGGAATTTGTTTAATAATTAGTTGCTTTGGGTTTTCACAAGGAAGACCAAATTCGTCTCTTCTTTTTAAGGTATTTGTTTAATAATTAGTTGCTTTGGGTTTTCACAAGGAAGACCAAATTCGTCTCTTCTTTTTAAGGTAATCAATACCTATATGGAAAAATTCTGGTGTGAAAGAATTTATTGTGCTAAAAAATCAATCCTCCACTGGGAATTAAGGCCTTTTCCATTTATATTGAAATGAAATAAAACAGATGTTTAAGCATACAAGTTGGACAAACAAAGCCCAAAACCTTTAGCATTTTAATGGACTATGTTTTAGTCTTTGATGTGCTTTTATTCAATATTATATGGATGACGCGGTAGACTGAGTTAACCAAACAATTTCTCCTTGTTTATGAAAGAGGTTTCTTTATCTATTTTATATCCTGCAAAGTGTTTTGATGTATTAATGCTCCTCATTTGATTTGTATGTTTAAATAGGTACAATTTTTTGCAATATCAATATCAGAAGAAGGCTCGGTTCTCTGAATTTTGTTTCCTGCAAGTGAGCAGATTCCAGGCCATGGAGACTGACATTAGTAATAACCAAGTATTTGGTGAAGAGAAGAAGATGAGTAAATCCCTGAAGAAACTTCTGCTCATAGTGAATGGTGCAATGTTGGCTATTGGCAATTGTGGAGGCCCACTAATACAGCGTCTCTACTTCTTGAAAGGCGGTAAGGCAGTCTGGATATCAAGCTTTCTTCAAACTGCTGGTTGGCCATTGGTCTTATTTCCCCTCATTGTTTCATACATGTATCGTCGAAGCAACAAGGGGTCAAGGACGAAGCTTATCTATATAAGCCCTCGCCTCTTTCTAGCTTGTGCTGTTATAGGTCTTCTTACTGGCTTGGATGATTTTCTTACTGCATATGGCGTCTCTCTACTTCCTGTCTCTACTTCCGCCCTTATAATCGCCACCCAGTTAGGCTTTACTGCCGGATTTGCTTATATTTTGGTCAAGCAAAAGTTCACACCTTTTACTATTAATGCAATTTTTTTGCTGTCAATTGGAGCTGTTGTTTTACTTATTCATGCTAGTTCGGACCGCCCTGATCATGAAACCACTGAAAAATACTTGTTGGGATTTTTTATGACGCTTGGAGCTTCAGCTCTATACGGGTTTGTGCTACCGTTGATCGAGCTGACGTATAAGAAAGCAAAGCAGACGATCACTTATACTCTAGTTATGGAGATGCAGGTTGTTATATCTTTCTTTGCTACAGCATTCTGCGCTATTGGTATGCTTCTGCATAAGGATTTTGAGGTATCCTCTCTCTTTCTTTCTCTCACACACTGCGCACATGTATACACATCAAATGCTTGCTTAATTTAGCATATTCAAATGTCCAATAATAATCATAGATCCTGTTATTGGCATGTCGATGCAGGCAATTCCAAGAGAGGCAAGTGAGTTTGAGCTTGGGAGACTAAAATATTATGTGGTGAATGTGTTTACTGCAGTGTTTTGGCAATTATTCTTCATGGGAGCAGTTGGTGTCGTTTTCTGCGATTCCTCATTGCTTTCTGGTATTATTATTGCTACTCTGCTTCCTGTGACAGAAAGTTTAGGTGTGATGTTCTATCACGAGAAATTCCATTTTGAAAAGGCGATTTCTCTTGTTTTGTCTCTCTGGGGATTCGTTTCTTACTTTTATGGTGAACTCCAACAAAACAAGAAAAAGAGTCGGACTTCAGAATTGGAAATGCCTTAAATATGTATTGGAAACAAGGAACAAGTGATTGTATATATTTGTTAACAGTGCAAGACTGAGAAAATTATTGTTATTGCTGTGAGTTACTTTGAAGGTCTGCTAGTTCTGTTGGGAAAAAATTACGCAAAATCCTCAAAAGTCGAATTTATGAGGGAGCAAAAGAAAATAATAATACACAATTTGATAACGGAGTTCGGCCAATCTTGCCTATGTCTCCGGACTGCCATAAATCTTTTATAGGAGAAAAATAAATAAAATGTTTACATATACTCACAACCTTCTATTCAAGAATATCCGAAAAATTAAGCTTAATTTTTCGGATTGAATAATCTCTCTATTTTTCTCTCTCACAATTGTTCTCTCACAATTGCTCTTACTCTCTCTATCTTCTTGTTGGTGTATTTGAACGGAGCAAATCCTCTCCTATAAATAGGAGAGGAAGATGAAAGAACCGTGTATAACTCATTCACGGCTCTCCATCTTTGTCAAAGTTGTTTGTCAACTTTCACCTAATTTTTTTTTTTTCTTTTCACCACGTGTGTGGGTACACCACAACCTAACTTTGACAATCTCCCACTTGAAGACTGATTTCAATCTGTCTTCACACATTAATTCTGCGGCAATCTTCTCTGGTCTGTTATTCTAGTAGGCCAACTATTTAGCACATCATTTTCAAGCAGAGACCTAATGACATGATATCGAAGACCAATGTGTTTTGTTCTAGAATGGAATGCTGAATTCTTTGCCAAATGTATTGCACTCTGACTATCACTGTACAAAACATTCTTTTCTTGCATGAATCCCAACTCTGTTAATAAGCCTTGAAGCCATATCATTTCTTTGCTGGCTTCTGTCACTGCGATATATTCAGCTTCAGCTTCTGTGGTGGATAGGGCTACAATCTTTTGTACCTGTGACATCCAACAAACAGCTGTAGTATCAACAGTGAAAATATAATCTGTGGTACTTCTTCAGTGATCAATGTCGCCTCCATAGTCTGCATCTACATAACCTTGTACTTTTAGTTCTCCTTTACCAAAGTACAAAACTTCTCAGTAGTGCCTCGTAGATACACCTTGTACTTTTTAGTTCTCCTTTACCAAAGTACAAAACTTCTCAGTAGATGCCTCGTAGATACCTCAAATCAACTTTACCGCTTCCCAATTGAGGCTTCCCTGAATTGACATATACCTGATACCTGCTAACAACTCCCACTGCATGGCCAATATCTGGTCTGGTACAAACCATCGCATACATCAAACTTCCTATGGCTGAAGCATAAGGAATTTTGGCCATGTCTTTTCTCTCTTCTTCCTTCTGAGGGGACTGGTCTTTGGATAGGCGAAAATGTCTAGCCAAGGGTGTACTGACGGGCTTAGCTTCGTTCATGTTGAATCTTTGCAATGCACGATTGATGTACTCCGCTTGAGATAACTGCAACACCTGTTTTTGCTTATCTCTCGTGATTTGCATTCCAAGAATCTTTTTCTCTGGACCCAAGTCCTTCATGTCAAATTCTTTTGACAATTGCTTCTTCAAGTTTTTGATTTCATTTATATCTGGTCCTGCTACTAACATATCATCGACATAAATAACAGAATGATATAATTAGGTCTTTAAACCTTTTGAAGATAGAAGTGGTCGCATTGCAACCTCTGGAACCTTCTCTGTGCATGAAGCCGTCCAAATTTTTCTGTACCACTGTCTTGGGGCTTACTTCAAGCCATACCAAGCTCTTCTTTGAGTTTGCACCGCTCTTCTTGAGTTTGCACACCATATTCTCTTTTCCTTTTTCTGAGAATCCTTCCGGCTGGTACATGTATATCTCCTTATCCAAGTCTCCGTGAAGAAACGTTGTCTTTACGTCCAACTGCTCAAGGTAGAGCCCTTCACTAGCAACAATACTCAAGACAGACCTGATAGTATTGAGTTTACAACTGGTGCAAATATTTTGGTGTAGTCAACTCCTTCCTTTTGCTGTAACCCTTTGACTACCAGTCGAGCTTTGTATCTCTTAGAACCATCATGTTCCTCTTTCACTCGATACACCCATTTTTTGTGAAGTGCCTTCTTTCCCACGGGTAACTCAGCTAGTTCCCATGTTTGATTAGAGATTAAAGACTTCATTTCATCTTTCATGGCAAGCTCCCATTTGCTGGCATCTACCGTTTGACATGCTTCCTCAAACATGCTTCCTCAAAGCATTCAGGTTCTCCTTCATCTGTTAATAACAAATAATTCATATATTTTCTGTTAGGCTTTGGAGGACGTTCAGACCTTCTTAAAGCTTTTGGAGGAGAAGTTTGTGGTGTGTCGATCGAATCCTCTGATTGAGGATCTTTAACTAACTCATTCTGCAGACTTTCTGAGATGTCCTCCACCTCTACAAACACTGGCCCACTCTGCTCTGAGTCGCTGGCAACTGTGTTATGTCTGTTCTTGTACATCATTATTTCATTAAAGACTACATCTCTGTTGCGGATCACTTTCTTATTTTCTTCATCCCAGAGGCAGTATCCAAACTCATCTCCACCATAGCCGATGAAAATGCATTTCTTAGATTTAGGATCAAGCTTATTCCTGCCATGATCACTTATATGCAAATATGCTACACAACCGAAAACTCTTAGGTGTGAGAGTTTTACTTCTTTTCCACTCCATACCTCTTCTGGTATTTTGTGCTCCAATACCGATGGATCTCGGTTGATCAAGTAAGCTGCTGTGTTGACTGCTTCTACCCAGAACTGCTTTGGTAAGTAAAGCTTGATTGTACACTGTAAGCTTCTGGCTCTTTCTTGTCAACGTTGATTCATGCGCTCAGCTACACCATTTTGTGTTGAGGCGTCCGGGCACGGTTCTCTCCATTCTTAATTCCATTGCCCAAATAGGCAGACTTCTTGAATCTAGTTGTCTTTCATATTCCCCCACCATTGTCGGTTCTAGCTTTTTTGTTTTCAGGGTTCCTTGTCTCATTTTTTCAACCATAGCTTTTCCAATTTTTTGGAAAGCATCAAATACTTTTGACTTATATTTTTAGGAAAGTAATATTTTAGAAAGTAAACCCAAACTTTCCGAGAGTGATCATCAATAAAAGTCACAAAGTAGTGTTTCCCACTAATGGATGAGACAGTAGTTGGTCCCCACACATCAAAGTGTACAAGCTCAAGTTTCTCCTTCTTTGGGGTTCTTCTATTTGTTTGAAAGCTGACTCTTTTCTGCTTTCCAAATATGCAGTCTTCACACATGTCAATTTCAATTGACTGAAGACCTGGTAGTTTTCCCTATGAGTGTAGAATCTTCATTCCTTTCATACTCATATGGCCAAGCCTCTGATGCCATAAATTGGGAGTTTCACTGTTTGCTGCAACAGCAATGGAATAGGCTGCCCTCCTCCTGTGCTGTTAAGAGTACGCACTTCTTACTGTCCTGAAGCAACCATCATTTGCACCCTTGGTGTAATAATCCATATACGCCATGAAGTTGTTGTTAGCCGTCCTGGCCAACTGGTCCTATCTGAGGATTAAGTTCTTTCTAGGTCAAGGAATAAGCGATCATCCTCAACTCCATGTAGACCCGTTCAACTTAATCCTCACTAACTACCCTTACCAAGCAATATTACATGTTTGGGTCATTACCAAGGTAATACTTGTTTGCGCAAAAATGTTTCCGGGGGCATACCTTTCAAGAGTTCCTTTTTGTGAAGTGTTGCATGAATGACGCACCGGACTTCTAAAACCAAAGATTCCTGCTTGCCCTCCCAAAGAGCAATATAAGGCGAATCAATCCTTCTCCTGAGGTGTGAAGCAACATTGCCTCTTAAACTCGCTTCCGGTGCTTAGCCGCATTCTTGCACTGATTTTTGTAGTGACCAGTTTTTTTCCACAAATTTCCAAACATTCAACTGGCTTTGTGCTATTGAAATGCTGGGATTGTCCTGGATTTGGACCTCCTGTCCTTTTGATTTGGCCTCGGTAATCAATCTACTATCTTTATTTACAAAGAAAGCAAAAAGATAGGATAATGTGAGATGATAAGTTTTCTCTCTCTTTCTCAACCTACTAATCTATTGAGGCATATTGTTTTGTATATTTGCTTATATTTAATAGTCAAAAGTCCATATATATATATATAATAATTATATATGTAAAACTAGAAAGCTTCAGTATATATCCATGTACATTTGTAGAGTTTTGGTATGGGATATCATTCCATTTGTAATTCATACTTATATTCTAGATTTGGTTTTAATCATACATTTCCACCTGTGTAAGATGTTCTGCCAAAAGTTTTAAAGGGAAATTACCATTTGTTAGTTAAACCAGATCCATGGCCGCACTTATGGACTAAACTAATGAAATAGAAAATTCGTATTGAAACAATGGTAGTTCTAACCATACACTTAGAAAAATAATAATAATAATAATAATAAGGTCAGAACTCTTTTTAAAAAATCCTTAGTTTGATTGGTTTAGTCCATAAGTGAACTGAATGGTTTACAGCTTTATATTATTATGAGATTTCTTTTAATTAACATCATAGGCGGTAGCTCCTGTACTAGTGACTATAATAAGGTATTAAAATATCTCAAACTGATTGAGAGTAAATATGAAGATATATAAGTATTGAAAATCAACTATTCAAGCGGTTATTTTTAGTCATTAGTTTTTTCGTCTGTTTTATTATTTGATTAACTAATCATTAATTGCAATATTAATCACAGAGAAAATTAATGTTCAAACCTTGTTGAAAAGATCTAATTTCTTCACAAATGAGCGGAAAAAAAAAACCATTAACCTGTAAAGAGAACTTACTTCGTCCTGATAATAAATAAGCCCTGATAATAAATAAGCTATTATAAAAAATGAAAAATAAAGACAAAAAATGAGAACACTTTATTGCAAACCCTTTTCACTACATTATTTGACCATTACACATATTTATTAATTTATTATTATAAGAAAATGCAAATATCTTCGTTTCTCTCGAGCAAATGAATAAAATACATCTCCATGAACATCCCTTACATAAACTCCATCATCTATAGCATACCCCTTCCTGCTCATATTGCAATGGTCAATATTATTCTAACTTTTGTTAATTAATTAT